GCTGCAGTCTGACCTGGTCCTCAGGGGTGGAGAAACCTTTCCAATTAATTCCCTGTTCCTAAGCCTGGGCTGTATGCTGGAGAAATCTAAGTTTGGTGGCAGTCTGCTTTACTTTGACCTGTTGGAGTTGGAGTTAGTCCAGAGGAGGACTGGTACAGCTCTTGTGTGAGGAAAGGCTGAAAGAGTTAGTGGTGTTCAGCCTGGAGAAGAAAAGGCTCTGGGAAGACTTAAAGGGGGCCTATAAGAAAGATGGGGACAATGTTCTTAGCAGGGCCTGTTGCAATAGGACAAGGGGTAATGCTTTTGAACTAAAAGAGGGTAGATTTAGACTAGATATAAGGAAGAAATTGTTTACAATGAGGGTGGTGAAACACTGAAATCGGCTGCCCAGGGGTGTGGTGGAAGCCCCATCCCTGGAAACATTCAAGGTCAGGTTGGACGGGGCTCTGAGCAACCTGATCCAGCTAAAGATGTCCCTGGTCATTGCAGGGGTGATGGACTAGGTGGCCTCTAAAGGTCCCTTCCAACCCAAACAATTCTGTGATTCTATGATAGATATCCAGGCTGCAAGGTATATCTGAGGTGGTCTGGACCATCAATGGCACCAAATTAAAGCAGCAGATGTAGGTGAGTCCTTGCGTTTGTTGTGTGGCCATGCTCTTCTGTCTTCTGGAAGGTTATCAGCAGTCATATGTCTGTCTGGTTTCTCAAGACTTGTCTCCTACCCAATAATCTTTTCAAATTGAATGAGTAAAATGGTTGATTCTCAGCACAGTGCTTTTCTACACATAGGAGATTATTTAATAACTGTGACAGCTTTGTAGTGTTTTGTCCTGGCCAGGAGTCTGAGAGATGCATTGTGTGGTCTTCCTGAATCCAGTTTGTAAGAATAATGTTTTTCTCTTACTGTGTTTCTCGAACCAATTGACTACTTTCCCTTCCCCTTCTCTTTCTACTAGGGCATCCTGGAGAGCGCTCGGCCCTGCACGCTACCAGTTGTCTTCTGTTTTCCTATTTACGCTGCCTGTATTCCCGTGTTTTGGGAATAGATTTGTGTGAGATTACTTTAATGTAGAGACTGAAAGTCATTTCTGAGATAGACCAATGAGAATCTTGGGCAGCTTTTCTACATGAGACTCTCATGCCAAAAAGCCCAAATGTAAAATTCCCTGAACTGCTTGATTGGTTTGATTCATTTCCTCTGTATCTTCAATTTCAAAGCCGTTTAGGAAGATCATTTGCATGAACATAAAAGTTCTCTTTAACTAAAGTCAACCGATGTGTTTTTCCAATGAGCTAGAGCTCATAAGAAAGATTCAAACATTAACAGTGTAAAGAAGGCAATTAGTGTTTGTACAATATATTGAAAATTAGCCCGAGGCATACTGGAAAAATACATGTTTTACACATGTATATTTTTCATCCAGTTTCGTAGTTTATATTAGATCTGGTCACAGATACTTCTAAAGGCTACTAAATTAATTCAAACTGTGAAAGATGTTGTGATTGTCTATAAAAAGGGGTTTTTTTTTAAACTATAGTGTAGTTGGCCTTACTCTGTATATTGGATCACTCAAAGGAAAAGCCTTTTCTACTGCTGTAGTATGTCAAGGAAGCTTATCTGTGTATAAACAGCAAAATGGGACCTCCCTTGTGTTACAAAGCTTTAACTTTTGTACTTTAAAAGTTGAGCATTTCTAAAAATGTACTAATTATATCATTCTGATAAAAGGAGATCCCCTCTCACTTTGTCACGGAGTGATACTTTCCATAGGTTTTTAAGCTGTCATAGGAGTAGGAAAAAAGCTGTCATAGTCATAGGAATCAGTGGAAAACTTTCATTTTAATAACTGTTGGGGGGTCCAATTACAGGGAGCAACTGCCATGTTATCTGTCTTAAAAGATTGTGCATCCATTATCGTGAGTGTTTTGCCCACAGTTTGATAGGAATTAAGGTCAGGAGAAGGACCGTTTCTGTGAAGGGTGAGAAACAGGAATTGATGCAAGCACGGATAGAGTACCAGTTAAAAACTTGGGAGTATTTTGTGCAAATATGAGTACACCCATAGCCTATTAAGGAAAATACTACTTTTTTTACCTTACTTATTTAGCATTTGATTCTAGTAGGACAAAGCACAAACCAAAAGAAACGGTTTGTGAGGCTCCGATGCTATAATGGGGACAAATGTACTTTCTGCAGTTAATTATGCTAAAGTATTTGTTGTTTATATGAATTATTGTGGTGTATATAGAGAAAAACCTTCCAGGAAGACTAGCTGAAACTTTTGTTTGTTTCTACAAGAGAATTCACTAGAGTGAAAGTCAATGTGGAATCTTAGATGCAGGAGTATAACGGCTTGCCTTAACACGTACAAGAGAGCATGTGGTTTTGGTAATAGGCTAATAAGAGCAATTAACCTTCTAGTGCACTCATTTCTTGGTCTCAGTTGTTTATAAACTAGGTAATAAGGATATTTTAACATCCTGTAGCTTTACAGGAGATTAGCAAAATCAGGCTGTATTTTTCAGGGTAATGCCTAATGGTGCTCAGGTGATAGCTTAAGTGATAGAAACAAAATTAGCAGAGAATAAAATATTCAGTGTTCTATGTGGTGTGTCTAACCAATGAATATGATTACAAATGTATAAATACATATTATAGTTTAAAGAAATAAAAATATGTGTTAAAGGTTTTTGTTAGAAAAGGGACTGTTTTCACAGGATCTGGTCACGGATCTGTTGTTCAGCTGGTTCTTGTCACTTTGCAAAGATTATAATGTAAACTGTTTCCAGGTTTATTTAATGTAAAGAAGTTTTAAACAGCTTTTCTTATAACATCTTCTTATTGTTCAGATGGATGAACCTCATAAATGAATGGGTTTCTTTTAACAGCAAGCGGCATCATTGTTGTCTTTTTGGTTTTGCTTTTGGGTGTTTTTTTGAAGAACTTCTAGAAGTTAAGTCACTTCCTGCAAAAGTTCCCATTTCTCAGTCAGGAGCTAATGCATTTGCGTGGCAAACAGACAAGTTGGGTACAAATGAGCAATTGCTTGTGCCACAAACTGCACGCACAAGAAAAGCCCTTTTTACTTCATTCTGTCAGCACCTTGCGTTACAGGTGTTGTGATTTTGACAGTCCTTGCCGTCCAGTTGGGCACCTTGCTGCGAAGGCAGGTGACACCAATGTTTGAATGATCTTTATTTTGCAAGTACTTTGGTTTCTAGGTTGGTGGTGATAGGAGGAGGATGACTTCCCCATAATAATATTTTTTTTATTTGATTCTGTAGCTTTTGGCAGTCAACTTTTGGGCTGCTTTTGTGGAATATTTGTTTTGTAAACTTTTGCCTATTTATTGACGGTGTCCCAAAAGGGACCTCTAAATCAGTTCATTTGTGCATTTAATTGGGGCATGTAAAATGTGGTATATTGCAGTTATTAGTTTTGTCTGTCCTTCCTGATTTACTGTAATTTGTCTGATTTTTACTTTACATGTTGGTTACAGACATTTTTATTTGGTTTAGCTAGTGAATAACCGTAATGAGCTGTTGCTGCTTTTTCTTTATCCTGAATTTGAAAGTCAGGACAGTAATTTTTTTCTGTTGGGTTTTCTGCAGAGACTTCCATGAAACCCTTCTCTACAAATTTGTGGTCTTGTTTTTTTCTTTTTCATTGAATTGACTGAACAATGTATTTGCTGGTGCAGCAGTCACTGAATATGAGGACTCTTTTGCTTTATTAGACTTGACAGTGTTTAAACAATACTAATTCTCATACCCAGCTGGCTTTTCCATTGATTTCTGTGCTCTCTGTCGCTGTGTAAAACAAGCTGGAACATTAAAGACATCTTGCACGCTACCCTCTGGAGACTTGTTTTTCTTTAGAAGAAAATCAAATAAGTGTAAAATTTTCTGTTTTTTCTCCTCATATGTTTTCTTCTGGATCTTTAAATGATATTCCAGTGTACTGACAAATTTTGTACGTGTTAAGATGCTAATTTTCAAACACATACATTTAAAAAGCAGTCTTCATTTTATAGTGAGATTTGCTAGTTTGCTTATTTGTTTATAGAAATAAATGTCTCTTTCTTCATCTAAACCAGAAAATACCAGCTTTAAAATCATGTTCAAGATGTACATAAATGTTCCATTTTAACCCAGATAAAATTTTGCGTATTTAAAATGTGTTCGCGAAACAGTCAAAGAACATTTGCAGCTGTTAATCATTTGCTTTACCTGCTCACTTTTAACAGTATTGAAGCAGCCTGAAGTATTGAGCTAAATATTGGGATCAGAATTCTTGGGGAGAGGGAGGCATAAAAGGCATTTTTCTATCCTGTAAATGTCAATATTTAAGTCACACCTTTAGATAGAACCAAGCCTTAAAACATATGCTTCTGAAAAGTGAATTTTCTCCATGCTGGAACCATCATCTGTGATGGGCTTCAGCCATTGTTGAGGTGACCGTTGTAGCATGAGTCCTTCCACTCCCTTAGAGGCTACTTAATTTCATCTGAATTTCAGTTTATTGTGGAATATCAACTTTCTGAAACCCAAACTTGATTCCTCGTCCACTCCATCTCCCCAGATACTGAGGTGGCCCTGCAGCTGGGTGGAGGATTTGGGGTGCTTAGTTGTCGTGGGTCAAATAAGGGCAATGACCTCTCATAAAGGGCTGGTCAAAGCTGAGGACTGGGACCTGATTTTTAACTTCAAGGAAACAGTGCTTTCTGATGAGAATTCATAACATTCCTGGCCATAATGTCTTCCTATAGTCTTTTCGCTTTTTGCACGGAAGCCGAGTAGCTGTCCCTTGTGTTCTTTTTTGCACTAGTACAAAGCATGTGCTGCTATTTGTTTCACACAGTGTCATGAAACTCTATGTGGTGCATACAAAGTCACTTGGAGTCATTGTAGGAAAACTTTATGAATAATGAATGTTTTGGTCACACAGTATTTCATTTAAGCTTTTTTTTTTTTTTTTTTTTTTAAATTTACTACAGCTGGTCTGAAAAGCCAAAAGAATGGAAGTTCCAAAAGACAAGACAAACCTGGCTTCTCTTGCACATGTATGATAAAGAGAAGGTTTGTATTAATGCTGCTTTTTCTCAGAACAAGTATGATATAAAGTTTTATACTTTAGTTGTAGCTATTATATAAGTTAATAATATTCTTTATTAACCGCGAGTTGCTAGTACTAGCCATGCACTTTTCTAATAATTTTTTATTAATTTATAAATCAATTACTTTGTTTTTATCCAAAACACTGAATAATTTTAATTGCTTGTAATTAATCCTTTTATTTTCTTGGTGATCATTCTCCTGTGTATGCTAGATTTTTATACCTGATATATGTCAAGCATAAATAGAGTAGATTCATGGTTTATATGAATCTGGAGCTTACTGAGAATTTGAGTCATACCCTTAGTTTGAATTCCTGAATGTGGACCCCAATACTATAAACCACGATTCTCATGTTGTTTCAGATATCTCTGGCTCCATAGAAGATATACAGTCGAATTGCCGAGATGTTAAAATAGCTTTCTCATTAAAATATAAGTGAAACCTGATGTTGATTGTAAAAAGCGTAAAGTATAACCAGAAGCTAGGCTTGTATCATTACTGAAATCCGTTCATTTCATAGCTTAAAAAACAACATAGATTGAATTTCCAATAAGCATCTGACCATCGCGGTATTGAATGGGGGTTTCGGGTCATTCACTTTCTTGTGTAATAGAACAAACATCTAGCCATTTGCACAGTGCCTTATTTATTGATTCATTTAGTTGACATTCAGTTAGTTTTTGCTGATTTTTTGTGTGCACTTAAACATTTAGGTATACCAATCTTCCTGACCCAAATTACTCAGCAGCTCTTAAACCAATCACCTGACATAGGGTATTACCTTTATGATTAAAAATACTTTTAGAGAACCAGATAATTGAAAGTAGTTTCATGAAAGCAAAAATGTTCACACAGTGTAATACTTTAAAAAGCTAGTTGCAGAATACAAATTTGATTCTAGGTATCTAGGTTGTTTGCACTGTCTTCTATTTTTAAGTTTCTCCTTTATCAACCTTTCAAAATCAATGTATGCTCTTTAAAGCTACCTAGAAATTGTTTTACAGGCAGAATGATGTTTTTCCTTTTTTACCTGTTTACTTTGGGTTTTGTGTTGAAATATGCTAGGAAATAATTAACTGTAAGTAGCATTTGCTTTATGTATCAAAACATAGCTTAGCTCCTGATTTCTCAACACTGAAATGAAACTTCCTGGGTTTTTTTGAAATCTGAAGAAAGTCCTATGATTTATTTAAATTTACATGTTTTGTAGTTTAATAATCAGAGATGCATTGAATATGAGCTTTAGATAATGATTAACATCTGCATCCAGATTCAGTGAAGTTAGCAGAACTGCTCAAGTGCTTATAATTAAGCATATGATGAAGCCTTTTTCTTCATCAGGGCTGTAGGAAGGGCAGACCAGCTTCTTTTGAATATTTTTTTATACCCAAATTATACTTCCTGTCCATGACAGAATAAAATCTGTTGGACATCCAAGCATGACTAAAATACAAAAGGAGACATGGGTTTCTTTCCTTCCTAAGCCGCATCTTTGATCTCATGGTGTCCCTTGGATGCCTACTGAAAAGCCATGCAAAGAATTGAGTTTCCTGTACTAATAGGCCTCCTTCTGTAAGAAATAAGCTGAGATTTTAAAGTGCTTTGCAACATGAGGGGGTTTTTAAGTCCCTTTAAAATCCATCTGGCAGTTGGCTGCCAGCTTCCAAGCCAAGCCTGTATACCTACAGTGTATATACTTCTTCAGGATCCAGTATAAAACAAACACTAGATCATTTGTTGATCTTTGTCATCCGGCACAGCATTTTAAGAAAGTAGCTATATCAGCTGTCTCAGCTTCTGGACTGCAAGGCCCTGCAGGGGTTTCTGAAGCTTCCTCAGAAGGTGACTGAAAAAAGCAAGCTTGGCAGCAGTAAGCTGAAGTTCTCTGTATTTGCTTTGCAAAATATGTGGGCATCTGCAAGTCTAAAAAGTCTGAAAAGTCTTGAGTTACACAGTGTAACGTAAAAGTGATAACTGATCTTTTCCTGCCACTGTTTTGTAGCGTTTCCCCCCTTTTCCCAATGATCGTAATTATTTCACTTGGGGATATTTCTGTATTAGTCAGCTCCAGTGCAAACTACCTAGTTAGAACAGAGGCAAGGTTACTGTGTGAGAGAGAGAAAAAGAAACAAGAAAAAGGTCAGAACAGTTTAACAAAAGAATAACAATAAAATCCCATAAGCAGCACTTCCGCTTGCCAGAGCTGTGGTGGGAGATGTTGGCATCCCATTTCAAGCCAGCCCGAAAGCTGATCTTAGAAGAAGGATTGTGTTCCTTCTTGTAAAACCTTGCCAAGAGTCACTGAAATTTCAGCTCTTGCACTACTGTATTTGAAGAATTAAAATTTGGATTTCATTAACTTTTTGCTGGCACTTCCTGTGTTCCAGTCCTTGCTAAGGCTCTATCGTGTGTGTCAGTTAGGAGGAAATACGATATTATCTTGCCTACATGGTGCTGTGTTGTAAGCTCTTGCTGATATAAACCTAATAGCTGTGTTAAAGACAAAAATTAGACTTTTTGAACGCTTGAGCACTTACCCTTAGGGCCAAATGTTAAATGTTTTCAAGGCTTCAGGCAGCCACATATCTGTCTGCACACTCATTATTTCTAAGTTTAGAGTAGGCTTTTAATTGCCCCTTCAAGCACTTTGCTTAAATGATATAATAACTGTAATTCTGCAGAGTGAGGTATGACTATACCACAAGGTCTGAGAACAAGAGGTGTAAATTACGTAGGTAATTTGGCTAAGGTCTGAAACACAGAAATGTTGCTGAGCTTTAAAAACCTGGTGCTGAGCATCTGCATTAAAGGAGCACTGTCATGCTGAAATTGCTTGTGTCTGGATGTTTTTGTCTGTTATTAGTACCAGTTTACTGTGAGTAAAAAGCTTTCCAAAATATAGACATTTTTCATTATGTTTAAATGTGTTTGATTCATGTATTATGGCAACACTACATATATCTTCCATTTCAGTGTTAGTCACTGTAAATTTTTTTTTTGCATCTGTATTGTTTCTTTAACTCAAGAGGGTTTGTGCAAAGAATTTGAAGGTTTTCCATAGCATATAAGTTATGAGGCTGAGTGCAGACTTTAGTTTTGATTTATTACTTTGTAATATCCCTGATTGATGAAGGCAGTGTTGGAATATTCTTTCTTCCTCTTCTTTTGGAGTGATAGAAGTTTTAGTGATCAAAGTTATGCTGCCAAATGTCGATGGAGAAATAAGTTGTAAATTAAGTAACTGTTGAAGCTCTGTCTTCTCTGAAATGTTGATACTTCGCAGAATTGAAACAGCCCTTGAATAATTAGTCTCCAATCCTTTAAACACTTACGTATGTGTTTAACTTGACTCATGTCGAGTATGCCTTTTAAAGTTATATGTGTAAAGTTAAACATGGAGAAAAATGCTTGCAGGATTAGGTCATTTTAACATCTCCTGATTCACAGCAAGAATATTCTCTTATTGGCTGAAACCTGTTCCACAGATCTACGTTGAAGCGTATCTTAACTTTATGGTGTATATCTGTTCACCTAATCCTTTTCAAAATGCATTTGTTTGAAATACTAAATCAACCATTCAAAAGTCTTTGTTAGGTTATTGCCAAGATTGTTTAATGTAGTGATCATTTAAGTTGTATGTTGTACCAGATAAGCTAAATTTTAACCTGTGACTAGTTAATTAGAAAGGGAGTGAAATGGGGATAATGCAACTGTAGATGCCTAAACTGCATTTAATGTTAGACATGGTAGTGGAGCCTATCAGTTTTAGCCAACATGGTATAAAAATTATTTCCATATGTCTGCATTCAGTTTGTTTTTCAAATTAAATTCTTTTCCTTTGTATAAGCATTCTGTCAAAGCGCTTGATGGTGGGTGGTATCTCGTCTTAGCAAACAAATCATTTTGGGTAGGGACGAGGGTAATTCCAGCAAAATTCTTCCCTCAGACATGTGTGTGCAATTCTCGCTGAATTTAGTAAGGTTTGCATACATGTTTCCAAAAGCAGGATTTGGCTAGTGGGTTTTATTCTTCCAACAACCCTCACAGCCTTGAGCTCACTGTCAGGGGGTGTTTGCGTTTGCTGATCAGCATTTCCACATCTGCTTAGAATTTCCTCTCAGATGCTTTGCCCATCTGAGCACATGACAGTCCTCTCACCACGGTCCATCCCTCCCAGCAGCTTGAACCTTGGCAAGGAACACTTCTGCTCAGAGGTGGGCATTGGCAAACGCAAAAGCCCATGCGCTTCTCCTAAGTATCTTTCAGGTGGTGCTTTGACATGATTGTGAATGAGTATTGAGAGAGAAGAAAATAACGCAGGTATTTTCCTTGGGTTTTTGTTTGTTTGTTTGTTTAAAGGTTCCAGACAAGTATTTCACCATTTTGCTGGATTATCTGCAAGGGCTTCAGGGTGGTGCGCGAGACATAACGGTGCAGAAAGCTGAAGCTTTTATGAAGGAATTTGATGGTTCTGATGCAGAAGACCCAAACGTGCTGGAGAAGTGTGAGCGCATACGACAAGTTCTGCAACTGCTGTCCTGAGAGTATTTTTGTGTCTGATGGTTGTCTGGCAGAGAGAAGGATAGGATGTCATTTACAGAGACTATAAATTGGTTATAAAGGCATGTTTTCAGATTTTATACTCATATTTTTTTCCGATTGCAAATATTTATCATGTTTTGAAGTGATGAAATAAAAATAACATATTTGGTCCATAGACATGCCATTAGAAGTAATCTTACTGCATATCTTTAGAAAAATAAACCTCTCTTTCTCTTTAGTTTTTCTCCACCTCCCCCTGTGATTACTGTTAAATAAGAGGAGCTTTGCAGTTCTTAATAAGAGGAGCAAAGGAATCAACAAAAAGCCTGGAGGGTCTTTTACGATGGCAGCTTTTAAAATGAGTGTACAGTACAGCACTTGCTCAGCCAGCTGTAATCTATCACTTTCAGCTTTAGAAGTATGGCATTTGGATTTGGGAAAGATCATTTTCAGTCTGTTGAACATGGGTTGTATAACACAGTTGCTTGTTAGTACTTCACACGGTGATCAGGAGATACTATCAGCTTTGTTAGTTTTCCTTTTATATTTTAAAGTTTTTTAATGTATTATGGCAACTGTTTAGGTATTCAGATAATGCACAGATGGGAACAGATCAAATCCTTTGACTATATGTAGTGAAGTCATCTGATTGTACCTAAACTTACCCCACAATGAGAAGTGCTGTGCTGCAACATTTTGTATCCAGCCTGCCAATATTACATTTTCGTCTTTCTTTGTAATTGGCATCCAAAAGAGTTAATTTGTGTTTATTCACTTTGATGTGGGACATTTGTCTCCTATGAACGTGCTGAAAATGAGGCTTTCAAGTAAAAACCAAGGACATTAATTACTCAGAAGTTGGATGACTGGCTTATTTAATAACACTTGTATTCAAGCAGCGTTCTTGACTTGATTCTTTAATGTTTCTGCAAACATTGTTCATACTTTATTAATAACAACTATATGAAATGTGTAGTGTTTTAGAAGAATGGCTGTCTTTGGGAATTACGGCTTTAATTTGGATAGGTGAAGGAGGGGAGGATCTATGGATACGCAGGCCTAATTTTTCAATAAGAAGCATTTGAGTGGATTTGACAGCCTTCACAGTCATGGATTACTACAAATCTTTAAAAGTATGAAATATATTACTAATAACAAGTAACTTATGCTTTCTGACTTCTTGAAGATGATGTTTTCAGCCAAAAGAAGACTAGATACCAGCATGCCCTGCTCTAACACAAAAACTGTGATGGAGTTTAACGCAGCAGTGAGCAGAATTCGGCAGCAGTGGCCAGCCTTTCTGTTGAGCTGCCGATAGTTCATCAGCAGCTCAGGTGCTGTTCCTGTACCATGGGGTGACAGTTGGATGGGGGCTGCAGAGGACACATGTGGTGTCAAAGCCTTTCTGAGGCCCAGAGCTATGTAAAACTGATCTTCCAGTGTAAAAGTTGGTGAAAACGGTCTGTAATAAAAAGAAGTGATACTGACATTTAGTGAACTTTTAAAAGATCATTGGATCTTATATTTCATGTCTGAGAATATGCAGCTAGCAAAAGCTACTGTCACTCCAAGCAGAAGCTGATCCTTTTTAGTTTCCATCAGGAAAAACAGGCATTTCTCGGGGATGAAGTTTTCACAACGTCTTTTTGTGACTTTATGATTGCATTTTAGGTGTCACAGAAGAATTTGTGTTGTCTCTTAAGATACTCGAAAATCGCCGCTTTTGGTTTCTCAGTCACACAAAAATGTGGGTCCTCAATGTGCACTTAATGCACCTTGTAGCTTAAAAGCACAAGTGCATTGCAACCATATTTTGGAAGAAATTTGTAAAAGAGGTCGTAAACGTAAGATCCAGGCAAAAAGATGTGAAGCTTTTATGATTTTGACACATCTGGCAAGATTTGCCTTTCCTTGGTTCTGACCATGTGCAAATGTTGACAAATCTGTGAGAAGAGAGGCTTCGTAGATCAAGAACGTCATATCTCTTTTTATATCAGTTAATATTAAAAGCACATAAGGCCTGCCAATCTGGAGTCCATGTGAACAATAACATTTGGAAAAGAATAGTTAGAGCCTTGCACCAGTGCAGTAACAGACCTCTGCGAGTGAGGTCCTGCTCTGCTCTCTTCTTCCTCAGCTGCGGTTCCAACTTTCCCTTCAGTGCTACCAGTTACTGGGTGAAGGACACGGCCTTTGGCCTCTGCTTCTTCCAGGTATGGAAAATTCAGAAGCTAAAAACTGAGGTGATTGTTGCTATGCTTGTGTTCAGTAGAGCAAGCAAAGTATGATGTTTTTTGCCTGTGTCTCTTGGTGTATGGTGCTGTTCAGTGGTCAGTGGTATCTCGAAATTGGGTAAAAGGCTTGTAAAACTTCTGCTTTGTATCGTCACTGTATATCTCCTGGGTTTCAAAGCTCAATATGAAACACTTTATTGCATTTCACTTTCTTACTTTGTTCCTTTACTTAAACTGGTTGGCAAACAAACAATCTTCAAAACACTCACCGAACGCAAAACCAAATACATTTTAGGAAGACATCTAGTGCTAGACCCATTTTAGAGACAAGACTGTGAGTACCCAGACAGCTTACCCAACACAGTGTGTAAATGCAGTAACATCTCTGGCAATCAAATTCTCTCTTTTCCACCAGGCCAGCTTCTGCTTCCTGCTCCAACTGGCATTTTCACCTAGGGATTTACATTGCGTGGCCGATAAGTACAGCAAGGTTTCCTCCATCATGGATTGTAAATGATGTCTTTTAAATTATTAAGTGTATAAGCAGTTAGTGAATTCCTGTAGCTGGTCAAAGCTGTACAGGAAGATACAATCTGGCACTTCATTCACTTTATTTTGTCATTTGGTCATGTAGAATTTTCAAATCTCAGCATCGCTTGTAGTTGAGGCAATCATATAGATACAGATAGGACAAAATCGTGTCTCTGCCTCCGTTTACATCAGTCTACTGTGTTAATAAAAATTGCATCCAAGGCTAGAAGTAACAGTGTGTACAGCCTCACGAATTATATCTTCATCTGCCTACTCTAATTGTCTTCTAGTTGAGTTAATCTGTATTGTGTAGCTCTGGCTAGAAGAATTCGTATCCTAAGAGAATGCTGAAGTCAGGACTTCTAGGCAAAATAAAGGAACATTAATTACTTAGAATTGCTTAAAGCTGGAACTGTGCCTCTGATGGAAGTACTAATTACTCAAAATTTGACAATGTAAAAAGTTCCCTTTAATTTGGCTTATCCTTGCTATGTATGGATTGTCTATCTTGGTTCTCTGCTCTCTGCCCACAGTTTTAATTTGTTATCACCATTGTAAAATTACTGAGTAAATGAATTCTCTGTTCTTATTTCGAAAGGGTGTGTCGTAGCTGTTGAATGTGTAGTTTATTCCTTTATATCCTCTCACTGGAGAATAGCTCTGCTGTCTTTCTGTTGATTTTAAAGCAAGGTGACTCTTGACTCATCTTCCATCATTTCAAATAGCTTAGAAATGCGCTTCTTTGGTTTGAGCTTGGGGGTTTTTTGTTTGCTTGTTTGGTGTTTTAAACTTTTGCCTCTGAGTAAGGCAGAGTAACGAACGTTAAAATCTACTCACGTTTCTGCAAATCAGTGTCAGCAAAAACAATCATAAAAGAGATTTAAGTTGCAAAGTCAAGCACTCAGAAAATTAGAAAAAACGTAAGAATGGAAATGGTCTGTGTAATTTTAATTTTACTCCTTCACGCATATGTAGTATGATGAAACCTCTAATTATGCCATCGGTGCTGTGTTTTCCATTATATATAACTGATAAGTCATTTATTCAGTGTTTTCCTTGCAGTTCTGCTGCTATTCTCATTTTCAAAATTTAGGTCTACAAAGCAGTACTAAAGCTAGAGAAATAGCTTTCCTGTGTGGATTTGATCCTGCACAGAAGAAATAAGTAGGAACTTTCCTATTCATTTGGTATAGGTACTAGTCATAGCTGTTTCATCACAAATGTTCCCTTCAAAACATGTTTTAATGTTCTGATTCATTTACAGTCAAAATACTGAATTGATGTTACTTAATTTAAATCCCGTTTTGTTGACATAAAACTTTCCAGTGGCTTATTCTGGTTTAGCCTTTGGTTTCCTTTTATGTCTTCCTTTCTGTACAGCTGAATGAGCTAGTTATTTCTGTCCCTGCAAATAGGAATATTAGTTGTTTACAGTGATTCCAGTCATACAAGGACACAATTACATGTCCTTGCCTTTGCAGGACAAGCTTATTTTAGCAGTGATTTTTAATTACATTCTGTTTTAAATTCTTCATAAGAACATACATAGTCAACAACTTACTATGGTAAAAAA